AGGGGAGGGGGAAGAGGAGGGGGTAGAGCCCAGAGTATCGGTCAGATCATATAATGTTTATAAAGGGTGTTATATATGAATGACATTAGCATATTGATGGAGACGCGGCGACCACTTTGGTTATGACTTGAACATCTCTTGCCGGGTCCGGAGTTCCCCCGCAGGCTCTGATTCGGCTGCACACACAGTGGGGGTGACAATGAGGTCCGTGCAGAATATCGGACTCAGCATGCAGCACACAGAGGGTTAAAGTCGGCGGCGATATGGTGGCGCGGTTGCTGGCAGTTCCGTCAGACTCGGCGCGGTTTCCCGGTGATATATATGTTCTCTGTATACATCATTCATTTTAAATTATAATAAAACATCCGTATGAATCGGAAGCGCGGGGCGCTGGGTGCGCGATAATGGGATTCAGTCTGGGAAGATCGGGGAATGCTTACGTCTCCGTCCCCCTTATAACGGAGCACAGCCAGAGCTCCACCCAAACATGATTTCATATTGGGGGAGGAAAGCTGTAGAGTAGCTGAAGTTTCGTCACCCCGACAATCCGGCACCATCTCTGCTGACTGAAAGCTGATTGCTCATTGTAAGAAGAGCAACAACATTCATGTATTGTAACAGCAAAATGACAGACAACATTCACCATGTGACATCACTGCTCTCCAGGTGTGACATCACCGCCCTCCCGACGCGACCTCCCCGATCTCCTGACGTGACCTCCGACGCCACCGGACTCCCGACGCGACCTCCGACGTGACCGGATATAAGATATATTACACAGAAGAAACATTTTGGCTTTCTATATATCAGAGAGAGAGGTGTATACTAGGGATGCACCGATATATCGGCCGAAAATGGCACTTTTGGCTAGATGCCGAAAGTGCCATTTTCCTGCCAGTACATCGGCGCATCCGTGCTTTCCTTCCTCCCCGCTGGGCGCTGCTGTGTGTCCCAGCGGGGAGGAGAGAAAGTGACAGCTGGCCGAGCGCTGCGGGAGGAGAGCGCTGTGAGCGGCCGGTGTGTCTCCTCCCACACCGCTCGGCCTCCTATCACAGTCCGGCAGAGCGGTGTGTGGGCGAAGACAGCGCTGTCACAGGAGGCTGAGCTTTCCTCTCGCTCCGCCTCCTGTGACAGTGAGTCAGGAAGGAGACGAGTACAAGCCGTCGGTGATCAGTGATCGCTGAGTGTTTGTAAATAATTGAGGACAGAGAATGGTTACTATATCCTCAATTATGAATGCATGGGAAGTGATCTACATCCCCTCCTACATCACTTCCTGTCCATTCATGATTGTGGTTATAGTAAACACACTCTGTCCTCATGTTATGAATGAACAGGGACACTCAGTATAGAGGATTCCTGTGCATTGATAACAGGGGGATACAGAGAAAGAGATTGAGAACTCTGTGTGTCTCTGAGGGCTCTGTGTGTCTCTGAGGGCTCTGTGTGTCTCTGAGGGCTCTGTGTGTCTCTGAGGACTCTGTGTGTTACATAGTTACATAGTATTTGAGGTTGAATAAAGACACATGTCCATCAAGTCCAACCCATTGCGTATGTGTGTGTGTGTAAAGATCCCCGAGTCATCTCGTTTTTAGGAGTACTTGTACCCCTGTATATTACCGTTTCTCAGTGTGCTCTGTGTGTCTACCGTTGCTCTGTGTGTCTCTGAGGACTCTGTGTGTCTCTGAGGACTCTCTGTGTGTCTCTGAGGACTCTCTGTGTGTCTCGTAGGACTCTCTGTGTGTCTCGTAGGACTCTCTGTGTGTCTCTGAGGGCTCTGTGTGTCTCTGAGG